AAAGTGGGAGTCTATGTTCCTGGGGCACTTATAGCCACCATGGCCCCTATATTCGTGGGCTCATCCTGTCAGCACTAGAATAATGCTACAGTTTGGATATGGTTTGTTCCCACCAAAACTCATGTTGAAATTTGATTCCCAATGTAACAGTATTGAGAATTGATGGGGCCTTAGGAAGTAATTCAATCATGGAGGCTCCACTCTCATGAAAGGATTAATGCAGTTCCCATGGAAGTGGGTTTGTTATCTCAAAAGTGGGTTGTAGTATAAGTGTGTTCAACTTACCCAGCCTTTTCTCTTGCTTCTCTCCTGTGTTGTGATCTCTTCCACTTGTGCCCACTTGTCCCTTTGCTTTTCCACCATGTATGGAGCACCACATGACCCTCACGGGAAGCTGAGCAGATGCCAGCACTGTGTTCTTGGACCTCCAGAACCATGAGCTAAATAAAACTGTTTCCTTTATAAAATACCTCAAGTATTATGTTATAGAAATACAAAATGGACTAGTTCATGTGGTTACTAGTACCATGTGGTTAATGATAGAAACTGGCCAATGTCAACTGGCTGTGTCATTCTGTCTGCACAGTTGCCTAGTGCCTCTTCCTAGTGCCTTACTCCCATGAGTGTAAACATGTGGTACAAAGATCTTCACATTCAGGCCCATTCCTTGCTATAGTTTGGATATGTCCCCCAATGGCCCACGTCTTAAAAGGCTTGTTCCCCGGTGTGGTACTATTGGAAAGCGGGACCTAGCAGGAGGTCTTCAGATCACTGGGGTCATACCCTTGAAGGAGATGATGGAAGCCCAGCCCTTTCCTCTTCTCCTTTTTTACTTCAAAACCATAAAATGAACAGCTTTGCTTGGCCACATGTTCTCCACCACAGTGTGCTACCTTGCCACAGGCCTTTTTCTTCCCCCTATTGTACTCCATAGCTGTCATCATGAGAACTATATAATAGCTGTAAATGCCTTGGGCTCTGGATGGACTGCCAGCTCATTCTATTTGATTGTGCCTACAAGTGCTGCTCATGTTCAATTCTGTGTGCACCCACTTCATCATACAGTAGATCATTGCTAGACCAGCCTGATCTCATGACTTATTGGATCTGCCCAACTCATTTTGAACAGATCCACTGTGTAGTCACTTGGTATTCCATGATCAGTCACTGTGTCTCTACCAGGGTCCAGTAGAACCCCACAAGTTGATTTTCAAAAGACATATAATTTTACACTAATTATAAAATGGCATTTCTTCAGAAATCCAGGGCCTGCTTCGTGATTCTCCCATTGGGGCTTGCCACAAATCCACGTCTCTTTTCCCATCACCAATACTTCTAGAACCTGCTACTCTGGCCACATTCAAAGTCAGAAGGTAGCCTGTTGTACCTCTCAGTGTTGGGGAAGGGCACCTCTGGAGTATGCTTTTACAGCCCAAAGAGGCCAAACAGAGCTTGTGATTCCTTCTTTGTGGTAGAAAAGGAAGAATACAGTACTTTGGAGGGGTCATGAGGTCACATCCCTGAACATTTGGACCCCTAAATAATTTACAAATCTGTCAACTGCTCCATCTACCATGTCCCCAAAGTGCCTGCAGATCTCTAGATTCCATTGCAAGATTAACTTCTTTGGGAGAAAATCCAAAAATTCTTATATTTCCTTCATACCAATGGTTTTCAAACTGATACATAAGAATACATTTGAATGTTTGTAGAAATGTAAATTCTAAGACCCTGCCCATAGAGATTCTGATTCCAAGTATCTGATTAGGCCCAGAAATTTGTGTTTTGAGAAGGCACCCTATTGCTTCTGATGAACTTCAAGAAGCCCTTCTTTTTACCTATGCCTATGTTCATTATGCCTGAATGCTTTCCCCTCTTCCCACCTGATCAACTACTGCTCAGGCTTCAAGACTCAGCTCCAACAAATGAAGCCTCTTATGCAAAGCTTCTCCTGGGCTAGCATCAGTCCATTGTGATTCCGTAACGATTTTCATGCCTCTTTAATTTCCAAAGTTATTTATGTAAAGACTTGTTTCCCCACAAGGCTGTAAACTTCTTTGGTACAGGGATTTTCTTTTTTCTTTCTTTCTTCTTCTTCTTTTTTTTTTTTAATCTTCAGCAGTTATTCTAATGCCAAGAACTTGGTAGACACTCACCATAACTTGTTGGATTGACAGGTGCATGAATTCTAGTGACATTTGCCTGAAAAATCCTGTGAATTGGTTCAGGTCTGCATTATAAAAAGTTTTATAGCAACATTCATTCCTTTCATTTCTCACTAAATGAACAGTGTATGTATTTCTCCAGAAATCTCATCATATACTTTCCTTAATTCCTTTATGGAGGTGTAAGATAAGGCCTTAATCCCTCAAGGATTGGCATTTGATCAGCACTTGAAGTCTTTTTTCCCCCCTAAATACAGCCTGACTTTTAACCTGGATATCTAAGAACAATTTCCTATGAGTTTCCTGTCCGTTTCAATAATCAATTTCTTTTGCTAATCAGTCATTTGCTTAACCTGTTCCCCACCCCCATTTTTGAGTTCTGCTAAGTTCAGTCCTCTGTGGATACATGCCTTAAATAAACCACAGCATAATTGGATGGTATATCTACACTCCACCTGTCACTTTTACACTGTGAAATCCCACCAAGATAAATTGATTTCAACCAAGTGAGAATCAAGTTGTCATTGTTGGTGGTGGCAGTGGTCATGGTGAATGCTCTTTCTAAATGCTATGATCCATTTTTGAAAACACCACAATGCCAGCAAGTCAATGGAACTTTCTAAGGTGAAAACCAGTGAGTGATATTTGAAGAGAACGAATCATGAAATTAAAACATTAGAGCAACATTTGATCAAATTCCTTCTGCAGAATTCTTCAAAACAACCTAAGAACCTAAGATTTTTCTGACCAGAGTCAAAGTTTTATTGTATAATGTGTATCATCTTACCTGACTTTCAGCTTCTGAACTGTGCAAGGTCAACAACAAAATCTACAAGGCACATTCTATGTGGCTCTGGGCTTTTGCTTTATTTTGATAAAGAACCTGGGTAGCTTGATCCAGGAGAAGCTCCTGGTACATCGACATACAATAATTATTAAATATGAGTAACAAAACCAAAACATAGATGGAGCCTTTTCTTAACACTATGTACTGGCAAGTCTCCTAAAAGAATGAAGAAATGATTTCAAACTGTTTCTGAGAGTTTACTCATCTAACCGAAATTAAAAACAAAAATATTTAAAATGCTTCCTGGTAGACTCAGATGTATGCGGCTTATGATCAAAAGGATAAATCACAATTTTCCTCTTAATAAAAAACATGTAAAATAATTTAAAAGGTATGTACCATGAAATCACACCAGAAAATCTCCCATCCACTTGTACACAGACTCTTCATTCTTTCCTTGCCATGTAGAGTGGATATTTTTATCTAAAAAATAATAATAAATCTGAATTCTAAAAGAATAATAACTGCTGGAGAGTACACCAAGGACCAGACAAATTTATCTTGCTTATCACTTCTAAAATCCTATGTTTCACTACTGACTAGGAATTGTAATAAGTTAAATTTAAGCACATATATTTTTTTTCCTAGTTCAAAAAATAAAATAACAACGAGCTATGGAAACATTTCTAATCCCATCAAGAATAAATTTGCTTAAATGAACCATGAAGAAGTTTTTAACAATAGAAGAACATAGTCAGTGATTTTAATAGTAATCAAATCTTTACATCTTCTAAATTCTGCTCATGCAATAGCAGGAACGTGAATAAAGTCTACAAAACTCTAAATGAAAAAGGAATGAGGGTTTCACCAACCACCTGGCTGTTTACATTGACAATTTGTCAGTTTAATCAACAATCCCTTTGGCCAAATAAAAATAACTGAATTACAGGGAAATATTCTTCTAGTCTGGATTCCAATATTTCCCACATGCCTCTTACCACCAAAATAAACATGCATCTTTTTAAACATACATACACAATGGCATAGAAGCCCACACTAGAAATTAATTACTTTTTTGTTAAAAGAGTGTCTCCTTTCTTGGGGTCCTACTTTTAAATTAAAATATTTCTAGGAGGGATCAAATGCATTATTATCTTCTTACTGAAAATTTATCAGATTCTTCTCTGACCAGGTTGCAAGACAGGAAGTAGGAGCAACAGAAAATGAAGAAAGTGTACAAGAAGAGGAAGTATTGGCCTCAAAGACAAACAGTCTGCTGAACAATTTTTGCCAGCCGTGACAACCAGCATTGAAATTGCTTGTTAATGAATAAGTGAGTTTTAACACAAGCACAGTTCCCAGAGTAAATATCATTTGTTGCCACCACTACTACTCAGAAAAACCAAAGAAGGATCAATTTTTTTTATCCTTTTGACGAATTTGGGCATGCATAAAGTAAAAATGAGCCCAATACAAATTTGCTTGGTGAAGAGGAGGAATACTATCACTCTGTGTCATCTGATTTGTTCAGATCCCAAAAAGAATGTTTGATCTGTCATATAAATCATGTGTAATACTTTATTGGATCTGATTCATTTCACTCTCATACTTTGGAAGGGGCAAGTGAATAGGCCTGGCTGTTTCTTTATTGCTAGGTGTAAGCAGTACATATTTCCTGCTAAGAATTGATCATTAATTTCTCCATAAGCAGGAAAATTGATGTCCTGGTAGTAGTTGTTTTTCTCTAGGCATAATAGTCACAACTGAATCAATGACATTGGTCACTGATGAAAAAATGGTAATCTTTCAGGAGATGAAAATAGATACTTGCAGCTGCAGATACAGACTCATTGCACTGAATGATTCTATTTCATCACTAAAAGGAATTTACCCAATGGAACTCTACCCTGAAGCACCACACCTGCAAAAATTGCTGATTTTTATGAGTGTTCTGAGCTCCAGATTGAATATTGTTTGGGAATTTGGCCAGATACAGGAGAAATGGCTGGTTTTGAGTAGAGAATCAGTCTAGGGCATTCAATACTCACTGTGCCATTACAGCAGTTATTCCAGGCAAGTTCAAGTATACGTCCTGTCCCAAGATGATCTGGAACTTTCTGTGGGGGGAAAAAAATGGGTCCCTTAGTACAGCTAGCCAAATGCACAGAACTTCTTCACCCCAAATCAGGTTCTAACTTTCCCTTGTCTATTACCAACACTTCTGAGATTTAAGAGGTAGAAATTTCTCTTCTTGAATACATTTCTCTAGGCCTTACCTTGCCTATCCACCACATCACTAATATATTTGCTGACATACAGGAAATTCAGTTAGAAAGCAAAAGATGTTGGGATGCTAACACATATTTACACTGCAACTGGGTGTAAGTCCTTCAAAAATCTCAAAAATGTGCATACTGTTGATGTACCAATTTCATTTTGAATGTTTTTTCCAAACAAAATAATCAGAAATGTGTCCAAGTTTTTACTCCAAGGATTCTTTTAGAGTTGTTGTATAATATCAAAAACAAGCAAACTACCTGAGTGTAAATCTACCTGAAATTCATAAATAATTTTTGATGAACACATATCCTAAAATATTTTGCTGTGATTTAAAGAGTATTAACTGTATCTTTTAAAAAATAAGGGGAAATGTGTAACATTAAGTTTAAAAGTTTAGAATGCAATATTACTGTATCAACCACAGATGAGAAAAATACTGAAGGGGCATAGCAACATACTAAGAAGATTTACATATGAGTGATAGAATAACAAATACCTTTTACAGTCTTCTCTTTGTTTTTCTCAATTTCTCAAATAGTCCACAGTTAATGCATACTAATTTTGTATTCAGGAAAAAAATGATTTCTTAAACATGAGTCCAAGTGTTAGTCTCTGGAAGCACAGAGTTCTGGGAAAACAAAGGCTTGCCAATTAAGGTGGGTGTGTGTGCACTTTGTGTTAAGCAGAAGCACGTGCTGTTTGTAACATGGTTGTACTGCTAGCAATCTGTAAATGCTAAAGAAACCAGAGGGTTTCTTTAAGTGACTGAAAACAGGTAAGATTTTTCAGTAAGTTCTGGATGAATATTTAATATTGCTGGTGGGTTGAAACGAAGAGCTAAGCAATCAGTTGTTGACTGAGGAATAAAATGTAGGCAATGATGCCAGGTTTCATGGAGTGCTATGTTCAGAATTCTTAGGAATAAGAAAAACGGTTGCCAATTCCTTTGACCCTGTGTAAGGACTGACATTTCCTCTGTCCCCTCCATCACACTCTCATGCCTCCTCCATGTGAAATAGCCACTCTACAGCTACTCATGCCCTGTCAGCTGGAGCGAGTAGGGGACAGACATCAGAGAAGTGCAAATGCCCAGCCCTAGTCTGTCCTCAAAGGACAGCCCCAATTGCTATGCTCCAGTGGCATCCAGGAAAGGACACATTCCAAACTCTAAGTGGAAGAAATGTTTCTCAGAATTCAAAAGGGTGACATAGCCAATATAAACAACCAGAGCGACTATGGAAAGGAGCAGAAGGACAATTTTAGACTAGGATTTTAGAGGCAGCTGAGCATTGAGGTCAGTCATCTGAATAAAGTGGATCCCACTTTAGATACAGGAAGCTTTGGGGCATCTGATCCTGGGTCTCAGCTTTCTCATCCACAAAATGGAGATACCAGTTGGATCTTGTTCCAAAGTTGTGGCAAACTGGATTAGTGAAGACTGAGACATTGCTCCTAGGGGAAACCTGGGGCTTGGTTCCTGTGAGCCTTTGATTGCACCTTTTAGTTACCAATCAATGCATAGCCTTGTTCTATGTGTGTTTCTGTTTAAATTTCATTAACATTGACCTCACCACCACTGGCATTGTAACTCATGCCTGCACAGAGCTAACCTCACACTCTTATTTCCTCCCCAAGACACATCACAGTCTTTTCCAGTTAAGAACACTAGACAGTACTTCAGCTCTACTTGTGGGGCCATTTTAAACTGCAAACTCACTTACATAAAGCAGGAAAACATGGCAATAAATAGATTGCAAATCAGACACTTGTTTACAGTACAAGAGATGAAACAAGAAGGCAGAGAGTGACCATCCTTTTATGCCACCCTAGCTGGGAACATGCAAGTCAGGCACCTCAAATTCTTTCCCTGCCTTGTGCACATCCACACATGACTGCAAAGTGCCACCAATTTACAAACAGATTTTAGGAAATAGGTGCATTTGCAAATGCAGAAGACATGACAAAGACTGACTATAATAATGGAATCTACCTTAGCAAGTCATTATGGGGATAAATGAAGTCATTCACATGTAATTTGGTTTGTAGGTGCTGCACAAGTCATTGTTTTTGCAAAATATCTGCAGACCTATTTAAGTATGAAGTACATAACTGTGCACATTCCTATACACTGTAAATTGCAATATAGAAGGAGGACTACAAAGCAGCCTAATAATAAAATTACTTGATAAACACGTGTGATTTTCTCTCATGACTTTTTTTTTTCAATTGAACTTTCATATAGGCTTAAAAATGAAGCAACTTAATATGTTTTCTATAGCAGGTTAGTTGAGTTAAAATTAAGACCTCTGGGAGGGCTGGAAGGAGGTCGGGGAGGAGAAACATTAATTGTTTTGCTAGGAAACTGCCCCCTCATCCTCTAATCCTCAACAGAGACAATTAACCCCTACTCAGAAGTAATTAGTGCTGTTTCCTCTATAAAATCTTAATAGGACTCAGTAAAGGATCTTTCCGTGTAGTTTTTATTTTTATTTTTTTACTCAACCACCTTGTTTGGCTTTTATTTTTACTTTGTTGTAATACTACACACAAGGGATCCTCTTTATTTGTACTAGAATCTCCTTGGTAGAAGGTAAATATTTGATGATTATGTAAGGAGCTATAAACACAATTTCCGGAGAGATTTTCTAGGAAGAAGTTTACCTGCCTGACCCAAATGGATTGAGATAATTTAAAATCTAAACTTCCTTACAAAGGAGAGGAGGTCATTTTTTTTTCTAATTCATTTTTTACAGTCTTTTACAACATTTGAAAATTTTTTTCCTTTAGGGTTTGAAATTCAAAACTTTGTTGGCCATTTATGCATTTATATATGTATTGAAGCTATCTAAAATATGCCATAGGAGCACCCAAGAGTTAGGGAAATATGCCAGGTGCAGTGGTGCCCACCTATAGTTCTAGCAACTTGGGAGGCTGAAGCAGGAGAATTGCAAGCTTCAAAGCCAGCCTTGGCAATTTAGTGAGGCTAAATTTTGTACTGGGGTATTTTTTTTTTTTTTTTTGGTACTAGGGATTGAACCCAGGACACTTCACCACTAAGCCACATCCCAGGCCTTTTTTGTATTTTATTTAGAGACAGGGTCTTGCTGAGTTGCTTAGGACCTCACTAAATTGCTGAGGCTGGCTTTGAACTCACAATCCTCCTGTCTCAGCCTCCAGAACTGCTGGGATTATAGGCATGCACCACCACGCCTGGCTCCAAAATACTCTCTGTAGTATCTATCATATCTTCTTAATTGTCTCAACTCCCCAACTGACTCTTCCTACATTGCTGGTTTCCATTATAGGAAATCATTCTTACAGTTGTCCAGACTTATAACCCTGGATTCACATTTTCCTTCTTTCCCCTTAAATGCTATATGGAAAACTTATCTAATTACTTTATCCTAATGAATAATTAGAATGAATACATTTTCAGTGTTCATTATATCCATTACCCTTATCCCATTTGAGGTCCTCAATTCCTATCAACTCTGTCAAGGCACTAGCTTTGCAACCATTTCTTCCTCATATCCTCCTCCAAATTATTCCTACTCATTTTTATAGAGGTCAATTCTATTATCACACTCCTGCTCAAGATTCTTCAGTGTTCCCCAGTGAGCACAGAAGGAAGTGCTACCTCTCCTCTGCTTGACTGTGAGACCCTTCCAGGGCCCGTCTACTACCTTCCTTTATACCTACATCTCTCACAATTGCCTTCCACACAACCTAGACCATGCCAGAACAACCTCTTGGTTGAAATGCTGACCTTGTTCCTCTTCTGCTACATTTCTTCTGCCTACATTTTCCTTTTCGCTAACTCTTGGGTGCTCCTCTGTTATCGTTCATTTCAGACCCGACTTTGATGTCACTTCCTCCCCATGCCTTTTGAACATCAGGTTCCCACAGTAAGCTTTCTTCCCAAGGTCACTAGGCACACTCAGAACCATGCTCCATACCCTCACTTTGTTGTAGTATAGGTACTTTTTTCTTTTTTTAATTTTTATTTTTAATTTATGTATGACAGCAGAATGCACTACAATTCTTATTACACATATAGAGCACAATTTTTCATATCTCTGGTTGTATACATAGTATATTCACACCAATTCGTGTCTTCATAAAAGTACTTTGGATGATAATGATCATCACATTCCACCATCATTAATTACCCCATGCCTCCTCCCTTCCCTTCCAACCCCTCTGCCCTATCTAGAGTTCATCTACTTCTCCCATGCTCCCTCTCCCTAACCCACTATGAATCAGCCTCCTTATATCAAAGAATACGTTGGCATTTAGTTTTTTGAGATTGGCTTACTTCACTTAGTATTATCTTCTCCAACGCCATCCATTTACCTGCAAATGCCATGATTGTATTCTCTTTTATTGCTGAGTAATATTCCATTGTGTATATATGCCACATTTTTTAATCCATTCATCTATTGAAGGGCATCTAGATTGGTTCCACAGTTTAGCTATTGTCCTCGGTGTATACCCAAAGGATTTAAAAACAGCATACTACAGGGACACAGCCACATCAATGTTTTTTATAGCAGCATAATTCGTAATATAGGTATTTTAGTTCTTCAATGAGATGAATGAATGAAGATTTTTGCCTGCATTGTGGAAGGAACATGGGAACTGAAACATTCAAAATGAATGAAACACGAAGTGGAGGGATTCCAAATATATCCCGAGAGTATTCTTGGGAGAGAAAAGAGTGGGTCTTTCCCTGAAGAATCACCTTCCAGTCCTTGTTTTCTTCTGGCAGCCTCTTTCTTTAAGGGAACTGCAAAATAATACCCACACTCTTTTTTTTTTAAGTCTTTTTAAAATATTT